AAATAAATAAATAAACTCTTTATAATTACCAACTATGAACTGACAATCCCCAAATATGTTTATGTAACTACCTCCAACTCAGACACTACTTTCAATGCCTGCTGGACATGAGGCTTTCATCTCTTACCTGTTCTGTCACAGCAGCATCATAACTTCATAACTGATACCCCTGTGTCTCTGGTCTTCAATTCCATTGCTGTCCAAAAGCAAGTTTAGTCCTATCATTTCCTTGCTTAAAATCTTTCAGCGGATCCCCATCAGTTACTTGCTTTCCATCATTTGGTCCCTGACTAATCCAATACCATCACCCATCACTCCCCCCAAATTTTCTTTAAAGGTTTGTTTTTTGAAAGGCAGAATTATAGAGAGATGGATTCAGAGATCTTCCATCGGCTGGTTCACTCCCCAAACAGCTGCAATGGCTGGGCAGGGGGGGGGGGGGGGGGGGGGGGCACGCTGAAGCCAGGAGCCTAGAGCTCCATCCAGGTCTCCCACACATGTGGTAGGAATCTGAACACTTGAGCCACCCTCTGCTGCCTTCCAAAGTGCATTTGCTGGGAGCTGGATCAGAAGTGGGGCAGTCAAGACTTGAACCGTTGGTGCCCATATGGGATGCAAAGCAGTGGCTTAATGCACCGTGCCACAATGTCACTCCCTCTCCAAATGTTACTCTAAGATAATTTCATTTCTTTCAACCCACTCTTGCTTTTATGTCTTCATGTTTGTTAGTTAGCTATCATCACTGTATCTTATGTGTGTATAGATATATATGTATATATATACATATAAATATAAAACACACCTTCCCACTACATATATGTATATGTGTGTGTGTCCCTCTCTCTCTCTTGCTCTTTCAAATAAATAAATAAATCTTAAATTTATAAAAGTTCACAGGAAATATGTATCATTTAAAAAAATTCGTAACTTTTTGAAGAGCTGCCAACACCAACAGCTTTGGTAGCAGATCTGGAAACATTGTAGCAGCATTAGTTTTCAAAACCTCCTGAGATTTTTCCATGAACAGATTCAGTTAACTTTTTTTTTAAGAAGGTACACTCCTAAGTAAACCTGACACAGAGAATGAAAGTATAAATAAAGGATTAGTACATCCAAGTGATGCAGATGTTGAATAGATATAATGAGCTGGTGAAAAAAAAAAATCTATGATCAAGTGATTGGTTTTTAAAGATCAAGAATACTTTTTAATTTTCTTTTCTATTTGAGATGTAAATATTTTCTCTTTAATTAAAAAAAAACTCTTGTAATTGCTAAAGTTAAAATCTTTAAAATTGGGGCTGGCACTGTGGTGTAGCAGGTAAAGCTGCCGCCTACAGTACTGGCATCCCACATGGGTGCCAGTTCGAGTCCCGGCTGCTCCACTTCCAATCCAGCTCTCTGCTATGGCCTGGGAAAGCAGCAGAAGATGGCCCAAGTCCTTGGGTACCTGCACCCACATAGGAGACCTGGAAGAAGCTCCTGGCTCCTGGCTTCAGATCGGCATAGCTCCGGCTGTTGCGGCATCTGAGGAGTGAACCAGCAGATGGAAGGCCTCTCTCTCTCTCTCTCCTTCCCTCTGTGTAACTCTTTCAAATAAATAAATAAACCTTTTTAAAAAATCTTTAAAATAGTAACTGATGTGGGACATGACAGTCTTAAGCAGTGGCTTAACCTGGTGTGCCACAACGCCTGCCCCTAAAAAATGATAGGGTATAGCGTGGTATTTCAATACAGGTCTCCAACATGTGCTGACTAGATGAGGGTAAATGCCCTATCACCTGGACTGTGTCTTTTGTTGCTCCCCATTTTATCCCTGGTATCTACCACAGCATCTGGCAAATACGCAGTATTTAAATATGTTGGATAAATTAATTTGCTGGCTTATATTTACCAGGCAGAATGAAGTGCTTTTTGCTTTTCGTATTTGAGATAATATATGTAAAGCCCTTAACTCAGTGCCTGGTAAATATAAACCAAGAAATCAATTGACAATTGAACCCTATTCTATGACAGCTCCGTTTCATGAATGAGGAAACCAGAGTCTAGAGATAGCAATTTGACCAAGGCCTCCCAGCACGAGCACTGCAGTCCTCTTCAGTAAAACCACGGAGTGACTGCTTCCTATCGTGCGTGGATGTCTTTGTGGGAATACATGCATTAATAAAAGTAACACGGAGACCATGAGAAGGAAGAGATCTCTGGATCACAAGTGGATCATTTTTGTCTCCTGAGCAAACCTGAAAAGCCTGAAATATTTATGAGTCAACAACAGAATCCAGAATCCCACAGTAGTTAGGTCAGGTTACTTAAACGGAAGAAAAAAGTCAGCTGTACCTGAATTGTACTTGCTCAATGAGCCTAATTGTTCCACTGACCAGTGAGGCATAATAACATGCACAGGACAACACTGACTATGACTGGCCTGGGGAAATAAACCTCAGTCAGAAAACTTACCAAGCCAAAAATAATGCCTGGATTCTCATTTTACTGACAGGCGAACAACTTGCCCGACTTACTTGTGCTGACCAGTCTCTGTACCTGCAGATACTACTGCGGACCCACTGTAAGAGGTGCAGCTACTCTGAGCAATTTATCCAGTGGTACTCAGGAATTTTTTCCTTCTCCACCCACTCTCTGGTCCACCCCTTCTGTGAACAGAGGCACAACTGCACAGCTGTTCTTTATGGCTGTTCCTACAAGAATAATATATCAATGTTAGATGGAAATTTTATGCTGGCTGATCATGAACAATTTGGAAGAGTGTCATTTTAATTTCTGGAAATAGTGTTACAGATTTAAAATATGTGTATTTTAAATAAATATATATATGCGTATGTATTTATTTGAGAGGCATGAGAGAGCGAGCAAGCGCACTCCAAGTCATTGGTTCACTGTCCAAATGCCTACCATGGCCATGGCTGACTGATCTGACACTGGAAGATGAGAATTCAGTCCAAGCCACCCACGTGGATGGCAGGGACACAACTACTTGAGCTATCATCACATGTCGCTTCCCAAAGTGCACATTAGCAGGAAGCTGGAAAGAGGGACACAGTGGAAATTCAAACCCAGGCACTTCAAAATGACAGCAGCTTAAACACTAGGCCAAAAGCCTGCCCCAACTTAAAAAAATCGCATTGCCATCTTTTTTTTTTTTTTTTTTTTTTGACAGGCAGAGTGGACAGTGAGAGAGAGAGAGACAGAGAGAAAGGTCTTCCTTTGCCGTTGGTTCACCCTCCAATGGCCGCCGCGGCCGGTGCGCTGCGGCCGGCGCACCGCGCTGATCCGATGGCAGGAGCCAGGAGCCAGGTGCTTTTCCTGGTCTCCCATGCGGGTGCAGGGCCCAAGCACCTGGGCCATCCTCCACTGCACTCCCTGGCCACAGCAGAGAGCTGGCCTGGAAGAGGGGCAACCGGGACAGAATCCGGCGCCCCGACCGGGACTAGAACCCGGTGTGCCGGCGCCGCAAGGCGGAGGATTAGCCTAGTGAGCCGCGGCGCCGGCCCGCATTGCCATCTTTTACAAAATCATTGCTATCAAGTCTATGGAACTCTCAGTGCACCTGAGAGGTGGGAGGCAGATGGATACTTAGGTACTATAGAGAAAGTAGTTAGAAGTCCTAGGACTTTGAGAGATGGAAATAACACCCCAACTCTGGACTTGATTCATATACTTACCATACATTAGATTCTAGGATACTGCTTCAAATCAATGAAATTTAAGAGACTGTAAATTCATTATCTTTCAGCAGAACATTTATCTGGCAAGCTAAAGTACCTTATTTTCTAAGGGAATTTCTTCCTTGTGGATGAATCTACACAGGGGGCCAAATTTGAGATCACACTGTTTGATGAGCATAGAATTAGAATGAAAGAAACTGGTATTATTAAGAAGTATCCAACTTCATCATTCTCTTGCTTAAAGCCTTCCAGTCTCCACACTGCTATCAGGATAAAGTCTACATTCATTCATTACCCCTCCTTTCTTTTCAAACCCCACCTTAAGCATGGCTCCTACCATCCACACTGAACTACTAAAACCTCCCTTGCTTAGGGATAGATTTACTTTTGGCAACAATCATATTTGTACCTCAAATCTCTAGAAATTCAGATTTTCAAGCAAGTTACTGTCCTTCATAGCAACTTATACATCTCTCAACACTTAATCTTTATAGCTACTAATTTAAATGTTCCACTCCCACAGTGAAATGTAGTTTCTTGAGTTATTTACCTTATTTAGTCTTATTTATCTATTAAATCTTAATGTGTGGCACACAGGAAAAACTTTAAAAATGCCTTTAAAGTGCTAGCTATCTCTATTAAACTAGGTGGTAAATTGACTGTCTCCATGGCTCAATAATACAGAACATTTTATAAAACAGAATATTCCCCTTTATATTCCATTAGACTGGTGGTTCACCTAGGATTCTGAATTTTGTTAGTAAAACAAACATTTAAACATTTGGGAGAGCAATGAGGAAAAGAATCTTAACATTGCAATTTCAAAAAATTCCTCTGAACTCTAAAAACATCATAGAAGACAGAATTTCAGAATCTGGCAGTCTTTCTAAAATGTTTAAATTTCACTTGAAAGAGAGAGAAAGAGGGAGAATCTTCCATCTGCTGGTTCCCTCCCCCAAATGCCCACAGCAGCTGGGGCTGGGCCAGGCTGAAGCCAGGAGCCAGGAACTCCATCCAGGTCTTCTACATGGGCAGCTGGGGCCCAAGTCCTTTGGTGAAAGATGGTATTTGGAAAATACTGAACAAGATTAGTGTTCTGTATAAAACAATTTTGAAGAACTGTATGCCATTTTACACATTCTTAAGTTAGTATTTGATATATTTCCTTGTAGCCTTAAATTATAATGAATGTCATTTCTGGCAAGTTGTAATTTCAATACAAAACAAAATTATGTCATCTTAGAAAATCCACTCAATGGGACTATATATCATAATTACTTGAAAAAAATAATTACTTAATAAAAATACATGAAGCTTGAAATTTTGCATTTTTCCTTTATTTCCACTCTACTTCCCCCACAGAATTTTGTATTTATACAAAGAAGTCTATATTCAACCAATTTGTCTCACTTTAGAAACTTTTGTTACCATGTTAAAAGAAATCCTGAATCGACATAATTGTTAGTGCAAATTTGATCAGAGACATAAGTATATTGTAAATATTGATAATAATATTGATTTGAAATGCATTTCTTACTCAATTGATTTTTTTTCCAATTAACATTCCAATGCTGTGTTTGCAAGCGTGAGACAGGATTTGTCATACATTTCATTCCCTTTTTCCTTTTCTTTTACATATGTGATGAGAGCATTTGTTCACATACACACAAATAAGGATGATGGAATAGGGCTTTTGTTTTACCTATGACACAAAATTTTTTTAAAGCCTTTCAAGATACCAGCAAAAAGCCCTTAGTAAACTATTATTCAAAATTATTTTTAATGATGAGCTGACACCTCAGTTAGGTGGTTCTTCAGTTTTGTTGAAAGCAAAAGCTGGAAACCGTGAGAGTTGCAAAAGTACTGCTACTGAGTGATTAGGGACACTGACTTTGGTTGCCTCCAGTGTCTCCTTTCCATCCTGGGACAATGTCTCACAGTAAGATTCAACTTGAGTGAGAGGTATGCCTTTTTTTTTTTTTTTTTTTTTTCTTTTTCAGGAACTGGGAAAAGAGGAATTGTGAAAGCAGAGGTAGAAAAGAAAACCAGTTAGAGGGGAGCATTCTGGGAGTTCAGTTTTTGGAAAATGGGTCTATTTGGAAGTGAAAAGCCCGAGAATCAATTTTCTGAATAAAACAGTCCTTATGTGTTCACATATGCCCAAGAAATTCTTTATATACTTACAGAGCTAAGCACAGCCCAGTTTGTAAAACACTTGACTAGACCTGAAAACATTGAGTCTTTTTTTCCTAAGCAGTTACATTGCAATCCTGGGATGCACCCTCAATCTTGAACAGATGGCAGAGACACCCTAATGACAGTTTTGGGTTTGCAACTTTCCTCACGATTTATGTTGATCCTTATTAGCTTTAGTTTTCAAAGTGTGGTGACCTTGACTTTATCTCCAAATTCTGGGGCACGGAGTGACAACATGTGGAGCCTTGCACAAAGAAAGTCCCGTTTCATGGCGCTAACTTTACATGCTGTACTGTCTTGGCCCTGGCATCTTCCATTTTTTTCTCACCTGGTCCTTCTGATGGTTTGTAAATTTATGAGGCGGAACAGTGTGAAATCTGGGCCACTGAACAGAGGCAAGTTAACTGACCTCCCAGGGAGACGAGTCTGTGAACCACACACCCAGTGAAGTAAAGTTTGGGGTGACCTGCTAATTGCAGAAATCAGCAAGGTTAGTATGGTATTAATGATTGGTTTCAATAAAAAATAAGTATCAAACCTTACCACTTACTCCAGTATTTCCATTCTTTGAGGCCCATATTAAAATTCATGTTGCAAAAACAATCTACTTCTGTACAATTTACATATAGAAAAGAGGCACCTACTTCATCTGTCTCATCTCTGCGTCAGACTCCTCTTTGTGATTAATCAGAATTTAGAGAAACTGAAATCACAAAATGGTCAATAGTGAACTTGAAATATTTTAAAATTTAAAGCGCATGAGTCCACAAAAAACAATGTTTTATTTATATACATTATTTTTTTGAGATTCCAGAAAAAATATGGAATGCTTCACGAGTTTCTGCATCATCCTTGTGCAGGGGCTGTGCTAATCTTCTCTGTGTCATTCCAATTTTAGTATTTGTGCTGAAGTAAGCACTGTATATATTATTTTTAATGACCTAGTAAGTTTTCATTTGAATAATTTTAATTTACAATTTTAAAAATATTAAAATTGGGGCTTTCTGGCACCTGCCCTCCTGGAGCTTTCAGTTCAACAGGGAAGCATGCAATGAGGATAACCACACAATTTTATTTGTTTTTTAGATTTATCTATTTCAAAGTCTTAGTGACAGAGAGAGAGAGAGAGAGAGAGTCTTCCATCCACTGGTTCACTCTCCAAATAGCTGCAACAGCCAGGACTTGGGTCAGGCTGAAGCCAGGAGCCTGGAATTCCTCATCTGCTTTCCCAGATGTGTCAGCAGGGAGCTGCATCAAAAGCAGAGCAGCATGCAACTTGAACCTAAGCTCCAATGTGGGATCTTAGCAGTTGCAATTGGCATCTTAAACCACACCGTGCCCCAAGGCCGGCCTCTGCACACGTTTAAAACCTGCAACTGTGACAGGGCTGTGAGGCAGAGTTAGAGGGTCGGAGGATCTGAGACTAGGTATTTGAAGTTGAGGGTGTGGGTGGTCAGGGAAAGTGGCCCCAAGGGAGTGCTCTGAGGATGAACGTGGGTTCATTGAGAGGGAGGGAAGAGCAGTACAGACAGGGAACAGACAGGGATCAAAGCTGACATGAAGGGCAGAGGAAGGCAGCTTTGGGGGAATAGGCAAGGGACGAGCTGGGGTGGATGACAGGCAGACCTTGCTGGTGCTGCATTTGTGAAGAGTCTGGAGATGTAGCCCAAAGGAAAGTAACTGCAAGCCTGTAGGCATTTAGGCAGGAAGGGATCAGGAACCGCCAAGGTGGGTGGGGTGACAGGATCAGATGCGCACTTTGCAAAGATTACTGGCTTCTGCAGAGAAGGGACTAAAGGGTGAGGTCACAATGTAAGACTTGTTGTGATAGATGTCCCTGAAACTATGCATGTAAACTGAAGCTTCTACAAGATAACACTTTAAAGGGATTGAAAGTGTCCAAGAAAAGAAACACCATGGTTTTCATCCTGTGAATGTTCTGTGAGGTTTCTGGGGGTGTGGGGGGAGGTAGGCCCAAATTGGTTCACACTAAAGGGAGAGAAAGAATGAACAGCACCTTTTCCCAAAAGTCTTGGGGGGAAAACCACATCATTGATTATTGTGGTTAATTGTTAACAACTTTTTCCCTAAAAATAAAAGCACCTTTATTGATTTTTTGATGGTATAACCAATAAATTGTACTTTCAATATAAAACTACAGAAAATGTATTAAGAAAGTTTTTGTAGAAAGTGGAAGTCTACGGGCCAGCGCTGTGGCCCAGAGGATTAATCACTGCTTTCAATGCTGACATCCCACATCTGAGCGCAGGTTCAAGTCATGCTGCTCTGCTTCCTACCCTATCTTGCTTCCTGCTAATGCATCTGGGAAGGCAGAGATGACAGCCCAAATACTTGGGTCCCTACCACCCACAGAGGAAACCCCGATAGAGTTCCTGGCTCCTGGCTTTGACCAGGCCCAGCCATGGCCGTCACAGCCGTTGGGGAAGTGAACTGGCAGATGGAAGCTTTGTCTCTGCCTTTCAAATCAGTTAGTAAATCTTAGGTAATTGCCTCCATTCTGTTCAACAGCCTTTTAAAGCGCCCTTTATGCTTGTATTCACATATCGGTTTATGGATACACTCTTAAGGACCAGAGTGATTTTTGTTTAGCAATGTATACATGTGCAAGGCTTAACAAGGAGGTGCTCAATAAATAATGATAGGATTTTTCCCATATGAGAATTGTTGATTCGATTATCCCCATGTGTCAGCGAATCATTCCTATATGTTGATATGCTAGCCGCCTTCACTTAGCAATAAAGCTTGTACTTATATAATGCTACATAATCATTTGGGTGGCTGCTCAAAAACTCATATAATAAGAATATATTAGAATATATATAAACAACTTCATATTGATAGAAGCTCAAGGATTTTTCCCCCAGTTTTTCAGGGGGAAAAAAAAAACTTTTTTATAAACAGTGCTTCAGTAAACATCCTTGCATGGACATCTTAACCAGTCTAACAGAACTTCCTAACACTACAGCTGTCAGGTAAAAAGGCTTATGTGCATTTTATGTGCTGACACATAAGGACAAGCAACCTGTCAGAAACCTTGCTCCCATTTATATTCCCCACCGTGTTCATCACCCTGCACCTCTGATGGTTGACAAATTTACCCACTGCTGGTGGTTTCGTGCACATTTCTCACTACTGGCTGAGACTGGTTACTAGTCACCTATCCTAGTCCATTTGGGCTGCTGTAAGAGAATACCACAAACTGGGTAGCTTAAAACAACAGAAATTTCTCAGTTCTGGAAGCTGGGAAGTCCAAGGTCAAGGCACTGGCAGCGCTGGTGTGGGTGAGGGCTTGCTCTTTACAGGAAAACCTTGCAGCTGCACAGGTGAGGGCGGGCACAGGCTCCCACTGGCCTTTTTTAAGAGCACTAACTGCACGCCCCGGGAGGGCTCTGCCCTCATGACCTAATCACTACTCAGCAATGCCACTGCTAACACCGTCATCTTCATCTTCGGGGCTGGATTTTGACTATTGGATTTGGGGTGGGGGCAGGCGGGGGCAAGGACACTTTGTTTATGAAATGTTCAATCCCTTTGACAGAAATTCCCATTAGAGTTTATTTTAAAGGAAACAATATATCCTAAAGGAACAATATATACAGAGTTTTAAAGATCTTCACTAAAGAGTTGTTTATGATGGCAAAATAAACAAACTTGTAAGCAATGATATGTTCAATAATGAAAGTAGTTAAAGTCAAGCATTCTGTATCTGTGGTCACTAAAATAATACTTAAAATAATTATATTAAAACAAGCAAGAACAGTCTAGGATCCAAGTTATAAACACCAACAATTTTAGCTAGGAAAAGAAGAAGAAGATCATGTTTACAGAATAGTGATTAATTCTGGGTACTGGAAATAATGAGTGATTAGTTTTTTCCCTCCTATGAGCAGATCTGAACAAGAAAGTTTAAAATTTAATATAGTTTATAATTACGCAGATATAACAACTGTTAAGTGTATTTTAGTAGTTAAGGATGCCTGCCTTCGACTGGAGGCTATTACTCTTGTATACAGTCTTAGAAACTTCTATCTCATTTATAACCTTAAGCAAGTTGGTTAGCTTTTGTGTACTGGGTCTCCTCATCTGTCAAACGAGGATAACGATACCTGCTTTGATTTAACTCACAAGGAGTTTGTGTAAACTACATGTTTGCAATTCATGGGGAAGCCACACAGAAAATGGCACTAATATTATTTATACTCAACTACATTATTGCTTTTAAAATAAATACAATGGAAACATTAACTCGATACTTTTATTGTTCATATAACTAAGGAAAATAAAAAGAGGAAACAGAAAAAGTGGCCTATTAAAATGTGTTTCAAGGGAAGACATGGTAAATGACTCGACATTGACTGATTGCCTACTGGGTGCCAGGTTGGGCCTAGGGAAGCAGGGAGCAGAAGACAGTCCCTCTCCTCTCGGCCTTCATTCTAGTGGATGCACCAAGGCCGTGAAGGACAGTCACGCTGGACAACGGAAGACAGGCTCAGTCGGGTTAGTGCCATCATAGTTATGGTGGGGCTGGATCAAACGTCAACATCAGCAGTTTTACATAGCCTAAAAATGACGTTAGGGGACAAACTGGTTGGGGATGCCCCCATTCTTAAGGGGTTCCCCTGGTAAACATAAGGGGGAATTCCCTTGAACACTGCAGAACCCTAACAGTAAATATAGGGGCTACAGGGCAGAACAGATCCCTGCTTGCTAGCAGGAGACTGGAAGGGGTGGGGGAATTCCTAAAAACTCCCTTTACAGAGTAGGAGATCCCCTTCGTCACCCAAAGTTCCCTTGTCATAGGGCATTCTGAGAGATCTGTGACTGCTGGCCCCTGCATACTTGTTTCTGGTTTGATCTTCCTTCAGGGTTTAGGGGAAGGCAATCGAGTATATACAAAAAGTGTACATAAATACCCAGGCGTGTGTACACACACGCAACGTGTGCGCACACCACACACAGATACTGTTTGGCTTTTAGGAGTTCAGTGGACCTGGAATTTAAGTCGTTTGTACCACTTGAATCTAGTGTCACTCACCCCTAATCAGTCCATGCTTAAACATAATTCCAGATAGGGGGCAAAACATATGTTACAGATCTAAGAAAAATGCAGTCCTAACACCATCAAGGATTCTAACATTTTTGGTTGAAGTTAGCAATATTAAAAGCAAAACTAACAAGACCAGCAGAAACTTAAACAGTGCCAATTATGTACTAGGGATACAAGACGAGAACCAAAAGATCTGAATTTAAGTGTTGGGATGCAAAACAGGCTTTGAAGTTCACATAAAAATTCTTACATTTATTTTCATTTCCCATCACCTTAATCCTGGATAAGTAATTAACTTCAGTAACTCTTGGTTTTTTTTTGTTTATTTGTTTTTGTAGCGGAGGAAGTGTGGTGGTTTAAATATATTCAATAAAGTATTTACTTGCAAAGTGCCTAGAATGGAAAAAACTGACCATGGATTAAGGACAAAACATGCTATAATCACATTCCTTCACACGTGGCACTATTATATATGGCCACAGTATATAAGAATGCTCTCATTTCTCCGGGGCACAAAGTAGGTCCAGGTCACACACTGCCCTGTCTTAAACTTTCCAATAACTAAAATCAAATAAAGCCGGGCAAGGACAACAGTAACAACAACAAAACCTTACAAACTGTGCCAACCTGAGGACTTACATCAAAGTGTCAAGCTTGCTGGTTCGGGATGGCTTAGGTGACAAGAAAGATGGGTGACAACACGCTTGTTGCTGGAAAAAGAACTCAAAGCCAACATCTTTTTGTGGCAGGGCAGCAGTGTCATTCTCTACATCAAAATTCCATTGCACCCAGGTGGCAGACTTAACGTTTGATCTACAATCTGGCTGCTCTGCACGGTACTAACACTACAGTGAAGCGACTGTTGCCTCAAATAAACCTATATAATCAATGCATATTGGTCTGGATGTACACTGATGTGTTTAGTCCACTTAAAATATTAAGACAAATAATATTTTATATGTTCAGGAAAATGTATTCACTCCTGAAAAATATACCATGTCCCACAATATATATTCAAAGCATTAAATACTGTTCTTATTTTGGAAACAAACATCTCTGAAGAATTATAAAGTTAGAGGGTATGAAAATTGTTAATTAGTGCTCTCTATAATTTTACATTAATATATAAGGTGGGTTAAAGCCTCCACTCCAGTCCCTCTCACTGGCAATCGACCGCCTAAAGACTGCAGGCATATTTTTCATTCTTCCTATGCATATTCTAAAGGAATTATTTATGTAAAAAGCCGGTTCTTATCAGCAGTTATCTCCGACTTGTTTTATATGCATTTGCGATTCAGCTTCTAGTTGATGCATTATTTAGAGTAAATAAAACACCCCTCCATGGCCTGAGGGTATCTTTTTTGGGGGGGGGGCGGTGAAACTTGTTTGAACGACAATAACAAAAAAAAAACCTTGACTTATCTGATACTGTAAACTAGCATATGAGCCTAAACACTGCAGAATTTGCTACATGTAGCATCTTTTTAAAAGACTTTTTTTAAAAAAGGGATCAATGTTAAGGGCTCCAAACCGGAGAACCTTTCAGTGAAAAAGTCCACTAGGATGGTCGCCTTGGGCGCTTCACTCCCAGCTCAATCAGTTCTAATCACTCTAAATTCTATATGCAATGTAAACAGTTGGCGTTGCTTTTTTTTTTTTTTTCTTTTCAAATGAGCCCTTGCTGCGCTGGGGCTGGCAATCTCGGGAGCCGCGCGCCGGGTCCGTGCGAGCAGCCTCCTGCCGCGGCTGGGGAAAACCCTGCCTAATATTTATAACGTTATGACATACTGTAATACTCACAAGGTGGTTGTAGAAGTATAAACACGAGCCGAGCCCTCTGATTGGTTGCCGGTGATGTAACACCCATGTCAATACTTCCCAGTGAACGCACGTGTTCGACCTTTTATTTAAATTTCCATTTCATCACGGCCGTCAAGACACTCGGGGCGGTGCGTTTTCGGCGAGAGGATGGTTGCCCCCGGGGCCCGAGGCGCTGCCCTGGCATCCAGGGCAGGCGGTGGTCCGCGGCTCGCCACCTCCTCGCCCGAGAGGCGCTCGCCCGCTCCAGTCTTTGTGAGGGGACAAAATAAGTTCACTTCCTCGGGCACCGCCATCCACACACACCCACACCCCCACCCACCGCACCCCCACCCCCAGCAAATGACAAGGCTGGAGCGCAGCTTCCCACCGCGCACTTATTTCCCAAAGTCCCAGGTGAACTCGTGGCGAGAGGAGGAAAACGCGCGTCCCGGGCGCGGGTAGGTGCCTGTGGGCAGCGGGGAGGCGGCCAGACCCTGACACTCGCCAGCTGTTTGTCCTCCGCGCAGCCCTGGCCCCGGCCGCACACGCCCGCCCCTCCCCGAGACCCCCAGCCGGCCGCCCGGCCTTTTGTCCCCCCGCCCCTCGGCCGACTTCCTTCCCTGCGGCCGCACCCCCGCCCCCAGGCCGGAGGCGCGGCCCGGCCCCTTTCCCGGTCCCCTGGCGCCCCCACCCCACCCCAGCCCAGCCCCAAGCCCAGCCCCCCTCCCCCAGCCCGGCCCCCACCCTTTCCCCCTCCAGCGGTTACTGCTACCCCGGTGCATTGTGGGCGCACGGTCCGTTGTTCATTTGCCATTCGACCTCCGCCAGGGCCTGGTCGGACGGAAGCGCTCCGCCGGCTTTATTGTCGGCTCGTTATGTGGCGGAGCCGGGCAGTTTAACGTGCCTCTCGTCCTCAGCGCGTCGGCAGCCGGCGGCGGCGGCGGCGGCGGGACTCCTCGGCGCGCCGGAGGAAGGATATCTGTTTGGAGGGTCGGTGTGTGCGCGCGGCGTAGAAGAGGGGGCAGCGGAGGGTCTCCCCGCACTCCGCCTCTCAACTTCGAAGGCCCCACGCGCCCCGGCTCGCTCCTCGCCTCTCCGCCGCCCGCCCCCTTCTCCGCGCGGGACGCTGCCCGGAGCGCAGCGGGGCGGGGGTGGAGGACGCGGAGAGCGGCCGGAGGCGGCGGCGGCGGCGGCGGCAGCGGACGCGGACGCGTGCGGCAGCCCCGGGCGCGAGCCGGGCGGGAGGGCGAGGCCGAGCCCCGCGAGACCGGAACGCCGGGGGCGGGGGCGAAGCGGAGGGGGAGCCGCGGGGAGCGCGCGGGACGCGGCCCGAGGCCGGGCGCGAGCCGGGGCACCGGGCGGCGGCGGCGGCGGCGGCGGCGGCTGCGCGCGCCATGTCGTTCAGTGAGATGAACCGCAGGACGCTGGCGTTCCGAGGAGGCGGGTTGGTCACCGCCAGCGGCGGCTCCACGAACAATAACGCTGGCGGGGAGGCCTCGGCTTGGCCTCAGCAGCCGCAGCCAAGACAGCCCCCGCCGCCGGCGCCGCCCGCGCTTCAGCAGCCCAATGGGCGGGGGGCCGACGAGGAAACGGAATTGGAGGGCCTGGAGCCCCAAGACTTGGAGGCCTCCGCTGGGGCGGCCGCTGCTGCGGCTGCCGCGGCCGCCGCCGAGGAAGCTAAGGAGTTGCTGCTCCCCCAAGACGCGGGCGGCCCCACCTCGCTGGGCGGCGGTGGCGCGGGGGGCCCCTTGCTAGCGGAAAGGAACCGTCGGACTCTGGCCTTCCGAGGAGGCGGCGGCGGCGGGGGTCTCGGCAACAATGGCAGTAGCCGCGGCCGGCCCGAGACCTCGGCGTGGCCCCTGAGGCATTTCAATGGACGAGGGCCGGCGGCTGTGGAGCTGGAGCTGGACGCGCTGGAGGGGAAGGAGTTGATGCAGGACGGCGCGTCCCTGAGCGACAGCACCGAGGACGAGGAGGAGGGGGCGAGCCTGGGCGACGGCAGTGGGGCGGAAGGCGGCAGCTGCGGCAGCAGCAGGCGGTCGGGCGGCGATGGCGGGGACGAAGTGGAGGGCAGCGGTGTGGGAGCTGGCGAAGGAGAGACTGTCCAGCACTTGCCGCTCGCGCGGTCCAAGTCCCTAATGCAGAAGCTCCAGTGCTCCTTCCAGACCTCCTGGCTAAAGGATTTTCCCTGGCTGCGGTATTCCAAGGATACTGGCCTTATGTTTTGCGGCTGGTGCCAAAAGACCTCCGAGGATGGGGGCAGCGTGGACCTGCCCCAGGTGGGGCACGATGAGCTTTCTCGAGGGACCCGCAACTACAAGAAAACCCTTCTCCTGAGGCACCACGTCTCTACCGAGCACAAACTCCACGAAGCCAACGCCCAGGTAGGCTAGAGCTCGCGCCTGCCTCTTTTAGGGGGAAGATTCCTTGGCTAAACCACCCATTCCCCTGAGCGAGGGCATCGCTCCCGTTGAGAGGGGTGCGGGGAGCCTTCCGCGTGGGGGTTTGGAAAGCCTGGGAACAAGTTTGCAAAAGTTGTGTATGTGGTGTGGGGGGAGGGGAACGGAATGACAATTTTCTAATCGTACCGCTGACTGTGTTTTTATGTCTTTATGACTGAGATTTCTTTGCTCTTGGGATTGAATCCAGTAGAAGGTTTTGAAAAAGTAGGTTGAAGGTTTTAGTCTAAAAGGATGACTTCGGGTCATGTATTTTATTAGCTGTGATTTTAGCGAAGCCGCCTTATGTTCGTAGAGGTTTAGTGTACTGCTGGAAGTCAGATCTGGCAACTGAAGAGTGGATTAGGCAGAGTTCCCTAAACCTGGCAATACCTCTCCCAAGAAACCGTCTAGCCGAAAGAGTTCTTCCATTAGAGCACGATAATGTGAAGTGTCAGAACTGTATGTAAATGTTGGGGAAGCTATTTGAATAACTCCTTTCTCATGTGAGTAATTTTACTAAACTCGTCTCGGCTGAACTTGTTGAACTTTCTTACCAAGACTTGCTTGTGGTAAACTGTCGTAGCTTTGACCTGTGTACTTCTATCCAGATTTCTGTGCTGAGAGTCTTCTATAGCCTTCTTTTTCAGAAACGTTCTTGTAAATCAGTTTACATTGAGTACTTTAAACTTAGCGTGGGAGATATTTAGTATGCAGTTTTTTTTGGATCAAGTAGTTGATTTGAACTGGTAGGGAATTTTTTTTTTTGACCAAATTCTTGAAAACCCCAGTCTTTAGCTACAAATCAAGTAAGCTGTACTTTAGTTCTTAGTCCTCGTTTTAACATTTCTAGTCTAAAGATAGTAGCCTAACCATCAAGCCAAAGATGTTGATCAGCCCGTTTTTTTTTTCTTCTGACTTTTACAAAAAGATCCATGAATGTGGATGGAAATCATTCTTTTGTAGCCAAGTCATTGATTTTAGAAAGTCAATTCTCATATTTGTCCCTTGGTGTGTTGTTTATTGGCGTGATCTTGCGTTCAGCACCCTTGTAAGGGAGTTAGTTAGGCACACCAATAACCACACAGACCCAGTACAGAAGATTCTCAGAAGTTGGGGCTTTCACTGAAAAAGCATAGGGTTATTATTCCTATATACTTCAGATACAGTTTTGGGGTTTTTTTCTTTCCTTGCAGATATTTAGTTGCTTAAACCCTAGGAGGAAGATCATTTAAAGATACAAGCCCCAGAAAGGTTAAGTAAATTGTCCTAAGTCTTAAGAGTTCTGGGTGGCAACTGAGACTAAAGCCTATAAGGAGTGTCGTAATGGAAAAAGAATGGGTTTGGAGTAAATCTGGGTTCAGATCTCAGCTTTCTGCAGTTGCTAGCTTTGTGAGCTTGGGCAATGAAGTGAGATAGAGCTAACATTTTTCTTGTTTTTCTGTGTGCCAGACACATTTACTGTGCAAAGTGTCTTTGTTTCCATTTTATAGAAGAGGAGTCTAAGGCCTTAAAGGGTTAATTAACATGCCTGGTGTTATTCAGTAAAATACTAAATAGGTGGGGGACCTGTGAAAATTAAAACTTAAATTTCCACATAATGTTGAGTTGGTTATCTAAAAATTTTTAAAGACAACAGAAATGAATTAATATACAGTGGGCCAGTTAGTCCTTATCAGCACAGTCTTTCGATGTAGGCGAATCTGAATGGGAATGCAAATTATAATTAGCTGCTTCGTGAACCTGAAATCATAGGAAGGGGGAATTAGTTGGATAACCTTATGGTAGACTTAGTATGGGTGTATCCTTCTCTAGGCATTTGTCTGGCTCACAATTCATTGGTAGGTGAAACCTTTTTAAAACTTGACCTGAGCTATTCCTTTCCCTTCCCCTTTGAAAATCTCTGCTAATTCAGCGGATAGATCATCTCATTTCTTTTAAGGCATTCTTTGATTAGACTGAAGACAATACAATTTAGTAAGGCGGGTTTGTTTTCAGGCTATCTGTTGGTCCTCCTTGATTGGGTTTTGGTTGTTTCCGCTTTGAATTGATCCTCATCATTTCTGTAGTTCCTAAGTAGTTTGGAAGATATCTTGATACCCCAGGTAACACCTTTGAATCTCTTTGTCCTGTTAATACTCTGCCTTACTCCTTTGGGCAGTGTTGGTGTTTTTTGTTTTTGTTGCCCTAACTACAGCCCTTGATCACCTGTAGGAGGCAGTATAACACAGCCTGTAAGAGCATTCTTGGGCGTAAGGTTGGGGGGACTTGGGTCATGCTCTTTCCTGGCAGGCAAAGTAGTTAACTTCTAGTTTCCAATGCAAAATATATGGGCCAGCACACAATGGCTTAGTAAATTACAGCTATTACTTATTGTCATTTATTTTAATTGTAGTTAGCTACCTCACTGTCACTGGTTTGTCAGTTTTGTAGCCACTGTCTCATGGAATAACTCTTGTTAGAGACCAAGCCAGTTCTCCATTTGATACCTCCTGGGACTTTGGCCTTCAGATTCTTTGAACATTCTGAGCCTGTTTCTCATATCCTACATGAAATTTTCCTCAGCTTTTCAAAGAATACCTTGCGTTAGCGTTCTCTTGGCTTAAAAACATTGAAATGAGTTTTGGAATTCTTCAGGCAGGAGTTCAATTTGAGCTAGAGGTAGTTTATTCATTCTCATTTCTCTTTTAAGGAGACCTGTATTTTAGAGGAGTTTGGACAAATTTTAGTGTGTCACCAAGGATTACATTTCTTACTTTTTCTATTAAAAAAAAAAAAGCTTTGATGGTGACCTTGAAAAGATTTGAGCACTCTTGAGAAGATTATTATTTGGACAGTAGTTATAAAGCATTGCTCATGGGAAACTTTTTTATTATTTATTTGATAGGTAGAGCTAGAGACAGAAAGAGGGAGAGACTGAAAGGAAGGTCTTCCATCCACTGGTTCACTCTCCAAATGGCCGCAACGGCTGGAGTTGAGCCGATCCGGAGCCAGGAGCTTCTTCCCCGTGTCCCACATGGGTGCAGAGGCCCAAGGACTTGGGCCATCTTCTACTGCTTTCCCAGGCCATAGCAAGAGAGCTGGATTGGAAGAGGAGCATCCCAGACACTAACTGGTACCCGTATGGGATGCCGGTGCCACCGCACCGGCCCCCTCATGGGAGACTTTAAGCATGCTTTTTGAGTCTTTGTTCTGAGCCTTCTATTTCAGAGGTATACCTCCATTTATAAGGATAATATGGTATAGTTTTACTTTGAATAACAGCTATACCTTCAGAGTCAGGTTCGATGATTTGCTCTCAGAATTTAACCATTTTGCCCAGAGGATCTTAAAATGGCTTTATTAATAGTGATTACTACTGTATCTTGGTCTAGACCCCTTTCTATCCAGGTGTGAAATTTCCATTGCCTAAATCAAGCATCCTGTCAACTCTTACAGTTTACTAAACCTAAGACACACACCTAAATGTATTGTTAAATTTAGTTGATGTTTCCAGAAATTCAGACCAGTGATCTGATTGAAATTACTGATCAAACTATGTCCATGTCAGTAGCTGGAGCTGACAAAGAAGCTGAGGCCAATCTATCATCCTCCTTGGCTTTAGGCAGAAATAAGACCCAAAGGTTGATTGATTGGTTGTGTTTAAGATTTATTTATTTAGAAGAGAGAGGGCAAGACAGAAGAGAGGTCTTCCATCTGCTGGTTTATGCCCCAAATAACTGCAACAGCCAGCACTGGGCCAGGCCAAAAACAGGAGCTGGGAACTTCACCCAGCTCTCCCACTTGGGTGGCAGGAACCCAAGCACCTGAGCTATCATCTGCCTCCCAGGATGCATTAGCACAAAGCTGAATGGAAAGTGGGGTAGCTGGGACCCAAACCTAGGCACTCCAATATCGGATGCAGGTATATTCCAAGCAGTAGCCAAACTTGCTGCACCATAACACACAGTCTAGGTTGGTTGGTTGGTTTTGTTTGTTTGTTTGTTTGTTTGTTTTGACAGGCAGAGTGGACAGTGAGAGAGAGAGACAGAGAGAAAGGTCTTCCTTTGCTGTTGGTTCACCCTCCAATGGCCGCCGCGGCCGGCACGCTGCGGCCAGCGCACTGCAGGAGCCAGGTACTTATCCTGGTCTCCCATGGGGTGCAGGGCCCAAGCACTTGGGCCATCCTCCACTGCACTCCCGGGCCACAGCAGAGAGCTGGCCTGGAAGAGAGGAAGAAAGTTTGAAAGACCTTTGAGAAGGAAAAGTAGATATTAAAGATGAACCTATGGCCTAATTAACCTGTGGTTATTATGGAATAATTAGTATCATTCCCTCATTGTGTATGATTCAATAAGAGATGGTTCATTTCCCTTGTTTTTCAAATTTTTGGTAGTGTCTGACAATATTGTCTACCTAGGATTTCCTTCTTTAACCCTCTAAAATTTTGCTTGTTGGGTCTAAGGCACTGGAGACGAAAACCTTTAAACTGATTTTTTACTTTTCCTTCAAGAAACTTGTAGTTCAGTAAGGAGACACAAACATGACAATGAGATTAAACAAACGCCATGGTGGAAATGTGTTCAGCGTGCACTGAAAGGAAGGGACTGAGCGGTTCTAGTTGCAAAAGTTGAGAAGCTTATAGACCAGGCTCTTGAACCTTGTGTTAAATGAATAAATGTTGATGACAAGGGAGGTGGGAACAACATCCTGGAAGTTGGAAGCAGCATGAGGAAAATGGAGAAATGGTGTCTTGATGTGCCTGAGAAAAATGGATAGTTTGAGCAAGATGAAAAGAATCAAGCTTGAATAGGTGGCTAGACTCTAGTCATGGAGGTTTTCTTGTCAAGCTAAAATGATTGTATTTTATTCCGTGAATAAATGGAAACAACAGTTTTAAGCAAGGAAGACTTGTGACCAAATATGTGTGTGCTGCTGTGTAGAGGCACCAGTGTAGTGTTTTGTGG